AGGCCCCAACCCAAATACTGTATTATGTGAATCAAACACATAATCTGTTTTTCCAAACAGCGAGTTTTCAAGGAGAACCAATTATAACGCAATCAACATTAGTACCCCAGCGATACCAACGATGCCAGCTGCCTCAGCTCTTCTCCCCCCACAAAAATACTTGGCTGGGGCAACCATATTGCCAGACAACCGCAACAAAGCCAAACAACACCAACCAACGCCAAGAACAATAAAACACCACCAACAACCAAGTAACCAACCAGCACCAACAAGCACTATCCACCGCACCGAACAACACCAACAAAGCACTAAACAAGGTTGACACAATTGATTTGGGGCGTCGTAGGTATCGCTGGCGTTCTATTGTCCATCGCGTCATATGGGTTCTCCTCGGCAACGCACTGTTTGGCGGGCAGGATGCAGAGTTTTGGACATGAGCTGTTTACTGCAACGTCAGCTTCCCTACTGGGCCAATATGACCGCAACAAACACATTCTGCAGGCGGGGGGTGGGCCTATCACATTGGAGGGCGTGACATTAGGGGGGCCGGCAAGCCTGGAACATGCACATGCTGCAAAGCTATTCTTGGGCGGGGAGCACTTGCCCATATTGGCGGGATGAATTTGCGGGGCCTGGTCTTTGCGAGGAGCTTGTTTTTTGAGTTAGTGTGCCTGAGACATGTTTATCGTTTTTGACAGCAATAAAGAATGTCATATGCTTCTTCAGTCGAGGATATGTATGCGCCCCTGTTCCTTAATTAAACATCGCCGCAGACCTAGGTGTTTGTTGGCTTGCGTGCGTTTTATGGAAGCTGCGTTTTAGGCGATATGGTCCAGTTGAATTAGTTCTCGGGAATCTGCCTAAAGAGAGGGAAGGTGACGCCTGATTCGGTTCATTGTCTTATTCAATCATATTGTAATCCGCAAGCCCACGCCAAACGTCCGTTCGTGATTCTAATGTTGGGAGACGAACCCCAAAACTGGCAGCATGCGTCAAGTCAAGCTGGCACGCACTGGTGATATGATGAAGTCCGACACCCCTGCCAAACATCACTCAGGTTTGGTTCAAACAGGATCCTCAAGAGCATGAATGGATCCTAAATTCTGAGCCGTGCGTCCCTCAAACATGGATCACCGCTTTTTCCCATTGCAAGGATCGTATCTGGGCATGCGTGTTTTTGAGAGTACCATCTTCCGATTTCCCTTCAACACAACCCCAACAGAGGGTACCCTAACAAACACAACGCCTTTATTTTGAACTTCATCTAGTTGGGGAGGACGCAGACTGAAGCATGGAACCACATCCTTTGGATGAGCTTTCTGGGGCCTGGGAACCCCACTGAATTCTCTGTAGCTTAGGGCAAGATCATCGATAGGATTCTGTTAGATATTCTCAAGGCCGCATGGAGCGCCTCCCAATGCCGGAATCGGATGCTTTGTCCACGAGCTCCTGATTCGGTTGGTCGCAAGGGTGCCTTTTGTCGACGGTACCTTTTGCCTTGGGTTAACTTTTTTAATCCATGACTCCATCATGTGACGGAAGGGCTCTCTTAACGGGCACTCTTGTCACCTTGCGACAGGAGGTCTTGGACGACTTTGTGGGCTTTGTCCGGACAAAGTGGGCCGAGGTACTGGCGACCAAGTTTCATCGGATTGGAGGTTCGGTCGAATCCGGTCTACGGTACGTTTAGGAGGGATCTGAGAAGATTTGCTGAAATCCCCGGTAAAAACCAGGTGGTAGATGCCAATAAGAAGAGATTCCAAGCCAATGATTGCCACCCAAGCCCTAGATTTTCCGTGGAGGCGGTCGAGGCCCCCTTTCTTATGTTTGTCTATGTCATTGTTTCTTGCAAACATAACAGCTCAGTAGCTTGTGTGTTTGTTCTCACATGGCCACTGGAGCCAGTTTCGCGGTGTGTTGCTGTTCTGGCCAAGGTATGGGCTGGCAAGTTCTGGAAGTGGAGGGCACTTTGCCGTGAACATATCCGCCGTCAGGTGAATCTGTATCCCTGCTTGGCTGGGTCCTAACGAGCTGTTTGGAATGGGGTATTCATTGGGGCAACAGCTGGTTGTTCTTCAAAGCGGTCCTGGGCCTTAGGGATTGAAACGGGACCCAGTAATTGCTTTTGAGCTCTTCTAGAGGGCCCCTTGTAAGATAAGGGCATGCTCGTCCCAGACTCTGAATGTCAGGAACAAGTTCCTTGACATAACAGCTTTTGTGCAGAAGATATTTCTTTTTTTGACACATCTTCTCAGTTGTGCAATGCCAACCTTGGACATTTGTTTTCCCTCTGATCCGGGTTGGGTTAACTCATGATTTTAAGAGCTGAACCTTTGTACCCTTTGGCCATGTCAGCCGATCAAATCTATCTCAGGGCGAGTAGGTTCTGTCAATTCATTGCCAGCCCTCCGGAAACATCCATGAACACGGACTTGTGTGCCGCGGGGGGGATTAGGCTTCTTGGGATGTTTCTGAGTAGAAGGCATGACCTGAAAGTCCAGCCCAAAGTTGACAAGCTCTTGAACAGGCTGGAAGTTAGTACTTGGCGCTGGATTAAGTGCGTGGTCAGAACTCATAACATTGTGGTATCTGCTTGTTTTCAGCGGTTGATCGTTCTTCCGCAGGTTGCACGCCTGTTGAGACAGGAATACGTTGAGAGACACTTGCTGGTGTTGTTGTGATTTGTAAGGTGGTCAATGTCAGGCACTGATTGGAGAGGCATGAGCATGAAGGGAAAGTTATGCACAAGTAAGGTCATCTTCAACCCGAGTTTGGCTGAGTGCGGATTGTGCTCGGATTTTAGTCATTTCAGGTGAACATAAAGGTGATGGGAGGCACTGGCAGTAATACTACTTGTGGTCAGTTCTTGTGTTCCTCACTCGAGCAGAAAGCAAGCGAGAAAGCATCACACACACCGACATTTTCCTTGACATAGCTGTTTTGTATGTTACACACATCCAAGGAGCCAAGCAAAAACCGCAGCGCTCCTGTATCAAGAGGCAGACGCTCAGGTGTTGTGCCACAGGTAGCTTGTCTAGAAGCACATAGCTTGTAACGGCAAAACGATGGCAATTCATCAGTTCAATTACTGGTTCTTGGGGGTTCAAAGATTAGCAACTGGGGTTGAATTTTCTTTGAACCACCACCCCTTCGATAGGAGGTGGGGGGGGGGGTTGTTGTTTTGTTGTTTGGGGGGGTCACTTGTTGTTCGGGGGGGGGGGGTCTCTGAACAACAAGTGGGGGGTGACTTTGGTAAACTATTACTGCAAGACCAGCAATATGAAGCAGCGCTGTTTATGGAATGGTCGACGTTATGCCAACTTGTCAACACCGAAGCGAAGCGTCCTGAGGTGCTCCGATTGGGCCAAGCCCCGAGCCCTGTTTTTGTGGCTAAGGCGCGCCGTTTGGTAAGAGACCCCGTCTCTCCCTTCCTTTTTTTTCTGGGATCCCCACGGGTTCCTTCCATGTTTCAGGCTCAGCGATCCATCACGTTTCGGGAGCAGCTTCGATCCGTTGCCGTTGGCTTTCATTGAGCTGGAGGTGCAGTCCAGGTGTCATGTTGTGTCGTTCTTATTTTAATCTGTTTAAAGAGGCTGCCAATACTACTTTTCACTAATGATCTTTCTTCCCAAGACTACATCCCGCCATTGACATTACTTCCCAATAACACTTTCCATTGATGTTTTTGTTTCAACAGCACGTTCCACTAAAGTAGTTGATTCCTAGCGGAGGCACTAATCAAACCAGTATTGGCAATACACAACTACAAGTCGTGCGAATCAGTCTTCCGAAACAATCGAGTAGCATGCCCCCAGTGCCCAATAGAAATGATCAGGTTCACTCTTTCAATGACTGGGCTCCCTGCGTTCTTTGGGATCTATTTAATGTGCCGCTTTGGCCCTGGACAACATCAGGCAACTTCTGATTTGGAGTATCAGCTTGGCAGGCTTGGAAGGGCTTAAGTGCAGGTCCCACCTGCAAGAGGCTTCAGCGTCAAACCCTCAAGAAGAAGAGAGAACCCAGAATTTGAGCTGCAGATTCGTGTTCGCTATGTTTTGTGAACCTTCGACTTTTTTTGTGGACATTGCCGATGGTGCCTAGAGTGGGCGATGCCGATATTGAAGCTGCTCCTATTGACATGCAGCATTACAAGTTGCGTGCTTCAGGGATTGAGCGAATGCTGGCGGTCCAGGGGTTGTGGATCTATATATTGTCTCAAGCATGTGTAGATTAGTCGATGCTGTTGGGGCTGTACTAAGGTGAGGAAATTCCAATTCGGTTGGCCTCAGAAGTCGCTGTATTTTAGATGTCGCCGTTTGGGACCCGTGCTTCTTCCCCGCCCGGGAAGGTATCGCTGGTCAACGTTCGTGATGTTTTGGACAAGTGTGTAAGTATCTTGGAATATGTAATGTGTAATGTGTATTATGGTGTGTCAAGCAAGGTGGAATTTGAGTTGACACCGTGGGAACCTGTTGGTTCTCTCAAACATTCGTTAGCAAACCTACATCCAGTTGTTTGTCAGGCTGACAGCATTCCTGCCACCGGTCGCTTGAGGAACCATGCGTGCATGTGGAGTCGCCAGGATTTATGCCCTCAATTGGACAAATAGAGGCTATGTCGTTGATTGCTCATTCCAGGGCTAGCTCAGCATGCCAATCGATACCTGCACAAGCCTTACTGATGCCAAGGCAAGCGCTTGCGTTCAGCCGAAACCGTCAAGCCGCCTCAGCCATCAAGCTCGAGCCGAGGGCGTGAAGCTTTGACACGGGCAAGTTTCACCTTTTTTCGAACTCTGCAGCGTATGAACCAATTGCACCGTGAATAATCACAAGGTACCCGGTACGAGGCCAGTTCGAGATAAATACCCCAGCCGTTTCCAGTTCAGTACCCGAAGTAGCTGGTTCGATGCTCAAGCAAAGCGGGGAGCCCGTGCCCTGAGGAAGCCCAGCCGATGTCTGGCGTGTCACCTCACTTGCCAGCTTTGCACCTATGAGCAAGTGTTTCTCTTTGTTACTTCTGCGCATGCTTTGCAGCAGATGTGGGGTCTTCAAAGTCAGCAGCCGGCGCGGAGTAGGCGCGAGAGGGTAATGGAGTTGCACCAGTCAGTTCTCGTGCGTGAACGCTTTGGATTGGGCCATTTTGCGTCGGAGAATTGGTGTAGCCCTAGTTTGGGGAAACTCAATCTTCTCTGCAAGAACATCCACGTATTCTAAGGAATCTAGAGCGCAATCAACCCAATCTAAGGAGTCGGGAGCGCCTTGTTGGCACGCGCAAGTTTCTAGTTCTAATCGAAATGGGTACCAAAGTATCCTCATGTTGATGTGTTGACCCTGCGGCCTCACATGGCGGGATGCCTTCGTGTTAAAAGCTAACTCGAGGCCTTGCGACCTTGCCACCCGATGTCCAGTCTTACTTCCGTGCATTGAGCTGCATGCAGCAAATAATCGGCCAGCTTCACAGTGTTTGGAGGGGCGTGCGCGGCTAGATTTCTTTTTGGACATTCATTTGGGCAGAGCAAGCAGCAGTATCTGACTCGCCAGGCGGTAGGACAACACTTCCATGCTTGATACAGCTTATTTGAGACTCTTTTGTTTCAGCTGAGTATACTTGAGGTTACTTGATGGCTCCCCTATTTGAACACGTACCCAAACATGGTAACAAGCAAAGGAGATCTCGACAGCCGTTTGATCCATCGCCCAATGTAGGATTAAGTCGTCCGTGCATCCATTGATCCGTTTGTTTGGCCATCCTCAGATTCCGCGTCATGGGGTCATGATTGTCGAGGCCTTGTTTACCGGACCCTGAACACAGCTTCTCAGCCACCCCCCTCCCGCTAACCCCTGGACACGGATGCTTGACATTTTAGTGGAAACTTCTCATTCTTTCCAGGGTCCCTTCCAGAAAGCCGCCAGACACAGGGAAAGGCCTTTTGTATTTTGAATGGTTGAACAGAATGGTCAGCGCTGGAATTTGGGGTAATGTTCCCGTTTTGGTGGACAAGGCCTCACCGTCTTTGAAGGGACACCAGAATCCTAACCACAAGCAAGTCGTTGTTACCAACCAAGGATTTTCTCATGGCCCACCTTCCCCAAAAAAGAACACCAAAGGAAGATCACCAGCAGCCCCAAATGCCCCCATGGCTGTCAAATGGCCTGCAAAACCAGTGAAACCCAGACAATGGCGTGTTTTTTGAGAGAGGCTCCCTTTAAAATCAATCACCAAAAAAGGCGCCCTTCTTTTCTCGTCGCTGGCCTGGAGGCCAGGGCCTGTGCTGCAACCGCTGCCCGGACCACGGGCCTTGGTGCAGCAGCCGCGAAGCGAAGGCACCGAAGCCTGCAAATGCCAAGCGCAAGGAGCAGGCGAAAGCGGAGAATGAGAGGCTGGAAGCGCGAGT